ATTTAATAGACATTGCTCCCCCATCAGCCTGCAGTCACAGGTGTGCTATGTACTCTTTAAGGATGGCCATATTTTCTACCGAGCAATGCTGACATCCAACTTCCCGCCATATGTGATTGGGCCAGAGCTCTCAAGAGCAGTCAATCCATGGGCTGGCAAGGGACCTGTGAGGAGACTTATAGCCTGATCCTCACTAAAAATCTCTGCCCCAAAGTGATTCAAGTATTTAGATAGGTGGTTCAACTGGATTTTTTTAGGGGGTAAACTGGAACTGGAAAAAGCAAAAATAATGAGACGGTAGACAGAAGAGATTCAAAGGGAAAATGACTTTGAAAGATTTACTGATTCACGTTAATCTCTAGTTGCCAGCATATAGGGCAATGAACTACTGCCCGTGAATGACATCAAGATGATTAATCTAGACACTCTATAGATCTTGTTAAATTAAGAGACCCCTCTGACTGCAATATAGATGATCTTATCCCTAAAATCCTATTGGGTAATTCCATTCCACCTAGCTTCTAGGTGTTGAAAGGAGGGAAAGGAAATGGAAGGAGCTTACACCAAGTGGGTCCTCTTACGAACTTTTGGAAAAGGTAAATGTGTCCTTCCAGCTCTACTGACCGAACATCTCTGGAGGGCCAGACCTAAGGTATGTTTTTTTGGTTTTTTTTTGTTTTTTTTAACCTAAGGGATGTTTGCTCTATTTCCCACCCTCTTTTCAAACATGTGTCCTCTTTTCTTTGAACAAAGAATTTAATCACTCATTCATTCAATAAATATTTGTTGGAATAACACCTATGAACAAAACAGAAATGTTTCATTTCTACTGGCAGGATTACAGAAAATTTTTTAAAGCAAAGTTACATATAAAATGCTGACATTGTTATAGTAAATGCTAAGGAGAAAATTGAGAGAAGGAAATTAGGGGTGAATTTTTATTTTCAAATTCTAAATGGATTATTGGTGACACTTGAGCAAAAATCTGAGGGAAGAAAATAAATGAGCTATGGGGCTGTCTAGATAAAGTCATTCCAGACATAAGCTACTGTGCTCACAGGGACCCTGATGTGGAATTTACCTTGTGCATTAAAGGAATAGCAGGGAGACTAATTCTACTGGAGTGTATTTTAATGTACACTTTGGTTATTTATTGCCTCCAATTTACTGCTTAACAAATTATCCTAATTCGGTAGCTTAGAACAATGAGAATCTATTTAGCTCACTAGTCTGTCATTAACTAACATTGGTTAGAATTGACCAGACTGTTTATCTCCCAGCTGGGTTGATTCACATGTCCGGTGAACAACAAAAATCCGCCAATATCCATACATCTCATATTCTCCAGCATGCTAAACCCAGGCAAGTTCTCAAAACAATGGCTCAGGGGAAAAGCAACCAGGAAAAAAATACTAAATAAACCCTTTCTGGAACTAATAAGCAATTATAGCAAGGTTGTAGGATACATAGCTAATATACAAAAGTAAATCTTTCCTTTCCAATCACCAGCAATGAAAACTTGGAATTTGAAATTAAAAACACAATGCGATTTATACTAGCACCCCCAAGATGAAATACTTAGGTATAAATCTAACAAAATTTATATAAAACTTATATGTGAGGAAAACTATGAAACTTTGATGAAAGAAATCAGAGAAGAACTGAATAGATATTCCATGTTCATAGATAGACTCAACATTGACAAGATATCAGTTCTTCCCAACTCAATCTATAGATTCAACACAATCCCAATTGAAACCCCAGCAAATTGTTTTGTGAATATTAACAAGCTTATCCTAAAGTTTATATGCAGAAGAAAAAGACCCAGAATTGTCAACACAATATTGAAAGAAAAGAATCAAGTTGGAGGACTGACACTACCTGACTTCAAGACTGTGGTATACAATGGAATATCACACAATGGAATATCATACAGCACGAAAAAGAAATGAGCTACCAAGCCATATGGAGGAATCTTAAGTGAATATTACTAAGTGGCAGAAGCCAATCTGAAAAGGCTGCTGCATACTGTATGATTCAACTATATGGTACTTGGAAAAGGCAAAACTATAGAGACAGTTAAAAGATCAGAGGTTGTTAGGGAGTAGGAGGGATAGAGGGATGAACAGGCAGCACATAGAGGATTTTTAGGGCAATGAAACTATTCTGTATGGTACGATAATGGTAGACATACAATATGTGTTTGGCAAAACATACAGAATTTACACTATGCAAACTATGAACTTTGGGTGATAATGATGTGTCAGTGTAGGTTCATCAGTTGTAACAAATGGACCATTCTGATGCAGGATATTGATAGTGCAGAGGTTGTGTGTGTGGTGGGGTTGGGGGTATATAAGAACTTTCCACTCAATTTTGCTATGAACTTAAAACTGCTCTTAAAAATAAAGACTAAAAAACAAACAAACAAAAAATAGTAATCAAAGCAAGCAAGTGGAAAGAGCAAAGGGCATATTCAAGAATCTCCTAGTTAAGTTTGCTAACATCCTGTTGGCCTATGTAAGTCACAGTGTTCAGCCAACAGAGAGGAAGAATGCAGAACACGGTCACATGAAAATACAACATGATTAAAGGGAAAGAAGATGAATTGAGGTTATTAGTGCAACACATCCACCACAGTAGTTAATTCTTTCTAGTTAATTTGATGCAAAAAGATCTAAATAAAAATTACTTTCTTATTATCTGGTTATGTGCTCCCTATATCCCAGTTTCTTATCCTAATTCCACCATCACCCAAGCTATGATCATGACCCATCCCTGCCAGCTACACGGTACATCCCCCATCATGTCCCTAACTCCATCTCTGCTACTCATCTCATCACTGAACTAGAAGTTAAAAGTATCTAAGATGGATTGAGAGGCTCAGAGATAAACCATTTTTATTATATATTACTTGAATATTAAAATAAATAAATAGGAAAGGGCAGAGAGAGGGAGGGAGGAAGGGAGGAAGGAAGAAAGGGAAGGAAGGGAGGGAGGGAGGGAGGGAGGGAGGGAGGGAGGGAGGGAGGGAGGGAGGAAAGATCTTTGCCTTTAGGTGGAAGTAAAATGGTGAGAACATAAACTAATCACAAACTTAGAAAACGACCAATTATTGTGTAGCCATACTAATAGCCACCAGAACCGATTTTAAGCCAATTCAATCTCAATAATAATTGTATTCAATTCAATGAATCACTGTCAACCCCTGCCTTCTGAAGGTCAGCCAGTCAGAGATGGATTCATTTCAATAAACAGCCCTTGCGTGCCAAACAACAGCAGTCTCTCCCAAACAATCATACTTCCATAGATCATGTCAACCCACTCTACCCCCTGCCCCCAAAACATCATCCCTCAGCTCTCTCAAAGGGCCAGTGAACTCTGGCTCCATATTTCAAGTATTGAGTGATGGTTTCCTTATCCTTTAAAAGTGCCTGTTTATCAAATCTAAAACATCTACATTTTATTTACTTTTTTGCTGTGGTTATATATATATTTTTTTAAGATTTTATTTATTTATTCATGAGAGCACAGAGAGAGAGAGGCAGAGACACAGGCAGAGGGAGAAGCATGCTCCATGCAGGGAGCCCAATGTGGGACTCGATCCTAGGTCTCCAGGATCATGCACTGGGCTAAAGGCGGCACTAAACCGCTGAGCCACCCGGGCTGCCCATCGATTATATTTCTTAATTTATTTCTCATTTCTGATATTCATGTGAATCCTCTACAATAATGTGACCTTTACAACCATATTGTCTTGTCACAGTGACTTGGGCAGGCTTATATAGGTGTACTGATCAGAATTAACAAATAAAATGCCAACATTTGGAAACACCCTCTGATGGAAAGTCTTTATATGCTGACTCCACAAATACTGACTGAATGCCTATCTTATGTTCAAAACTGTTGTTGGTCTTAGAGATCCAGAAGAAAAAAAAATTGTCTTATAGAAAGAAATTCTGGTGGGAGCAAACTGATAACTTTTTAAAGTACATATTGTGACCGATTAGATTTTTAAAAAAAAATAAAATAAGAAATACCAACTTCAATGGTATTGAAAGGCAGTGGGGAGATGAGGAGACAATTGGGTACATGAAGCACCCAAGGGCGACATGGAGACTCGGTGGGCTGGGCCCTAGGAAACAGACAAGGACACGTGGCCTTCAGATGGCCAGCAGCCCACAGACTCAAGTCACCTCCAGTACCATCCCTACTTTTACCCTTGTTTTCTTTTTTTCTTTACTATGATTTCTACCTGAAGGTTTACGCTACCTTTTCTCCAGTTACTGCTTCTTTTTCTCCCCCTGCCCTGCCCTGCCTAGATAGAGAAAGTGCGTGTCACTGTAGACAACTGAGAAATAGTCAACATTTAATCTCAATTTTATGTTGGAGACGCTATTTCCAATGTCTGAGGAGACTGCAGCAAAATTACTTTTTTAAAACACATTTTAAAACTAATAATATGTTTTTTGGCAATCAAACTCACAACCATCAGTGTTGGTAGAATCACCTTCTACCCACCTGAACTAACCCGCCACATGGCCAGATCCCCTTTTTACATAAAAGAGTAAAAAGTTTGTTGGAATTCTTATGTTTCTTTAAAGCTAAAGGGAATCCTTCTTCTCCAAAGGAGGCTTCTTTTTAAGAGTGCTGAGACTTGGGGGTCACAGGTTTGGGGGTGAGGCAGAAAGAGGAGGAACCGAGGAAGCAGGCAGGGTGAGACTCAGAGACAGAGGCTCAAGTAGAGAAGACAAAAGAAAAGTGAGGGGTTGGGGGAGGAGGAGAAAGGGAAGTGGGGCACCCGGGTGCCCTGGGGCTGAGGATGGGGGTGGTGGGGGCGGGGCAGAGCTGGCAGGGCCAGTTCTGGGTGGAGAGGTGGAGTCTGAAAGGGAGAATGCAGACTGAGGCCCAGATTGGGGGCGCCTGGGGACAGAGGGATAAGAAATCCAGGGACAGAGGGAGAAACCGGATACTCAGATGCCCCATCAGCAGGCCTGTGTGTACAGACTCCGGCGTCCCTTCCCTGCGGCACTGCTTCCCACAGACGCTTGGCCTGGCCCGGGAGAGGCATCTGAAAAGAAACCTGAGCGCCTGATGAAAGCCTATAAAATGTGATGCCCAGTCCTAGGAGCCTGACAAAGGTCCTCAGAGAGTGGGGCAACCAGAGCACCCAGAGCCGATGCATACCTGGGACAGGATGGCCCACCGGTCTGCCCTGAGGCTGGGCCCTCTGCTCCTGCTTTCCCTCTGTGCATCCTCCACTCCAGGTAAGGAGAGGTGGAGGCCAGGCAGGGGCTCCTAAGGGAGGCCTGGCCTGAATCTATCCCCTCCGTGGCTCACAGTCTCCCTCCTTCGGCGCTTGGGCGAGCACCTTGGACAGATTCAGGACAGCTCCAGCCCCAGTTTGAGTTTAGGGCCAGGCGCTGTGGCCATCCCCAAACAAGGGTGGCTGGAGCAGCCACTGGACCCCTTCAACGCATCCGACACTCGGTCCTTCCTGCAGGTGAGGCCAGGAGGGGGAGCCCAGTGCCTTCTTCCCCTCACTCTACCCTCAGTGCCTGGGGTTTTGGGCCCCATAGGCTCATCCTCTGCGCTGTAAGTGACCACCCCCTACCTCCATCCACTTGGGTTTCTCAGCTTCCATTTCCTTTGTCCCTTGGGCATTGTCTTTCCCCCTACTTCTCCCTGTCCCTCAGACTGATCATCAAATCCACCACTGACATATAGATCTCAAAATGCAGCAGAAATCTGGGCCCATTTGGAACCAGACCTGCCTCACAATAGACACTTGAAGAGATCTAATGAATGATGTCCTCTGTGCACAGGCTGCAAAGGTCAGCTCATCGAGGCCCTATGTCCAAATCCATCCACATTCATCACTTATTCTGCACTTATCATCACAGTATGCAGCCACTATCTCAGACCCCAGGGACACAAGAGTGCACAGCTGACCAACCACCTGCTCTTATGGATCTTACATTTTAGCTGAGGAGACGCACAGGAGAGAATGGAACACACACACACACACACACACACACACACACACACACAAAGCCAATTTCACCTACTCCTAACCATAGAAAGACAGACCCATAAGGGAGAGAGACTGCCATGAACTGAGAATAAAGAATAGGTCAGGGCTCTAGATCCTACTTCTCCTTCCCCATGCAACCTGTTAGCGGTATTGGGTGAATGACCGACACTGGACCAGCCAGCGTGGACCCGTGTTCCTGCATCTGGGAGGCGAGAGCAGCCTCAGGTCTAGCTCAGTGCTGAGAGGTAAGATGCAAGGGTGGGAGCTGCCCCTGTAGTGCAGTGAGGTGGGCAGCTTGCATCCCCCCAACCACATATTCCTCACAGGGCACCCTACAGCCCTGGCCCCAGCCTGGGGAGCCCTGGTGATAGGCCTGGAGCACAGGTTCTATGGCTTGAGTGTCCCCGCTGGAGGCCTGGATGTGGCCCAGCTCCGCTTCTTGTCCAGCCGCCACGCGTGAGTGAGGGTCGGGAGGGCATCTGGGGACTCAGGACTGAGCGCATCTGTATTTTGGCAACTCTGCACCGGTGTTGCCCTCCTCCATGGCCTAAGGTTGGCCCCCAGGTCCCTGGTGCATGTTTTCTTCTCCTTTTCAGTGTCTTATGCTTTCTCTTTCTATCTCTGGGTCTCTGCCCATCCCCTCATCTCTTTCTCCCTCTCACGCATATTTTTACCTCTTGCTTAATCATTACAGCTTGCCGGTCCAGACCCCCAGCTCTGGTACTGGGGTTCCACAGCCTCCTCACTGGGCTTCAGTTTCTGCCCCTGGGCTCTTCCAGGTACTTGGTATCCTACAGATGAAGCCAGAGTGACCTGTAGAGCACACCCGCCCCCCCTCCTACCCACCCCCACTCCCCTGCTCAGATGTCTCACATATCTCTCCTCTCACTTAAAGTCAAAATCTTTACAGTGGCCACGAGGTCCTCTTGGCTCTAGGTCCCCAGGTAACTCTCGGACCTCACACCTGCTGGGCTCCAACTACACTGAGGTCCTTGCTCTTTTCCAGACTTCCTGGCACGTTACTGCCTGGAGCCTCTCAAAGCCTCCCTCTGCAGAGAGTGGGCTGCCCCTACATATTTGTATGGTCCCTCCACTCCCTCCTTCCCCTCCTCCGGGGTCCCTACTCTGGTTAACAGCCCCTCCTCCTCCTCAGTGTCCATCGCCAGCTCCACTGTTCTCCACTGTTCTTTGGGGACAAATCTGTCCTCCCCCACCTGCTGCCTCTCTGCCTCCCTCTGGCCTCCATCCCTCCCCATCTCCACCTATATCTCTTTGCCTCTATTTCTTTCTATCTCTTAAGTTTTTCACAAGCTGTCTCGGTTTCTAACCTCAGCAGGATGGCACCAACCACATACCGCGCCAGAAAGCTCCGGAAGGAAAAAAAACAGTTGGGATAGAAAAGAGGATATTAGGTCCATTCCACATCTCTCTCTCTCTCTGTCTCCTCTTCCTCCAGTGGCCTCTACCCGGTGCAGCCTGGGACCTTTATTCTTCCTGAGTAGCTCTCCCTATCTGCCCCCAACCCTCCCCTGTTATTTGTCAGGTTTCCAGCTATGACGCCTTAGAGATTTTTTCTTCCCCAAGTCGCCGGCAGGGAGGAGGGTGGAGGCTTTCCAAGAGGGTCTCCCCTGGCCGGGAGAGTGCCTGCAGAAACGACTGCGGGACACATTTGGGGAGCAGGGCCAGGGTATCTAGCCAGATGCCCCCACCGACGTCTCTGGATCCCCGCCCGCGCAGGGAGGGACTCTTAGGGACATGCACGAGCCTTCCCTCTGCCCCCCAGGCTGGCGGACGTGGCCTCTGCCCGCCTGGCACTCGCCCGCCTCTTCAACGTCTCCACCTCCAGCCCCTGGATCTGCTTTGGAGGATCATACGCCGGCTCCTTGGCCGCCTGGGCCAGGCTAAAGGTCTCCGGGGCCCGTCTAAGCGGGCGGGGGAGGGTCTCCATCTCGGGGGCAGGGGTCCCCACGTCTTCATTCACTCCCCCCGCCCCGCACCCTCCTTCACCCCAGAGGAGCTCCCCACGAACTGTCTCTGCCAGAGGGCACAGGTGGAGGGCAGGGCCTGGCCTAAGGCCACCGTCTGAGGGAGAGACACAGGGGCAGGGAACATGGGGTCCTGGTCCCCTTGCCCCGCAGGCTGATGGCGGCCCTCCCTCAGTTCCCCCACCTCATTTTCGCATCGGTCGCCTCCTCCGCTCCAGTGCGGGCCACGCTGGATTTCTCCGAGTACAACGAGGTGAGAGGCAGCGGGCGGCAGGTGCAGGGGGTGCTGGGGGGGTTCCCCTGATCCCTTCCCTCCCACGGTGCACAGGTGGTGTCCCGAAGCCTGACGAGAACTGCCCTCGGCGGATCCCCGGAGGTAGGAGGTGGGGCCAGATGGGACGTAGGGAGCGGGAGGCCTCGGAGGGTGGGGGCCAGACAAATAGTGTGAAACTTGCAAGGTGGCGGGTCTGAGCGAGGTCAGAGACCCGGAAGGTGGGCGGATGAGAACGCGGGAACCGAGAGATGGGGCGAGGCACCTAGAAGGGAGGCGGGGGGAGGAGAGGAGTGCGATCCTGTCGGGAGGGTGAGGCTCAGCGGGGCGGGGGGGGGAGGGGGCGCGACCCTTTCAGCAGGATGAAGCTCTGCGGGGCGGGAGAGCCGATGGGGGGCAACCCTATCAACAGGATGAAGCTTCGTGGGGCGGGGAGGGTTCCGGGGGGGGCACCCTATCAGCAGGACGAGGCTCCGCGCGGGGTGGGGGAGGGAGACGGTCGCAAGGAGCCCCGCCCCAGGCGGGGACTGGGAGAACCTGGAGCGCGCGTGGAAGACGCGGGTCCTGGGCAAGGAAAGGCGAGGCCCAAGCCCAGGTCTTCACCCGCGCGGTGTCTCGCTCCCGCAGTGCCGGGCGGCGGCGTCCGCAGCCTTCGCAGAGGTGGAGCGACGGCTGCACGCGGGCGGGGCGACTCGCTCGGCGCTGCGGTCGGAGCTGGGCGCCTGCTCACCTCTGGACAGAGCCGAGGACCAGGCGGAGCTGCTGGGGGCGCTGCAGGCCCTGGTGGGGGGCGCCGTGCAGTACGACGCGCAGGCCGGGGTGCCGCTGAGCGTGCGAGGGCTCTGCGGACTCCTGCTCGAGGGCCCGAGCAACCGCAGCCGCTCCGCGCCCTACCACGGGCTCCGGCGGGCAGTGCAGGTGAGCGGCCCTGCGTGCGGTTTGAGACGCGGTGGGGGCCTCGGCTGGCAGGGGTTCCTGCTCTGCTGCGCGTCCTAGGGCCAGCGTGAGCCCTTCTGGGCCCATCGTTTCCTCATCCACGGGCCCTCGGGAGGTGCACTGAAGTCGGTCAAGGGAAGCACGCGGTTTGCAAATGTTAGCGACTCTGTTACCTCTTTTGCGCATCTCGTTCTGTCTCCTTCCCCAGGCCTGCAACAGTCTAGCGCATAGCAGATGCTCAATTAGCCTTTCGAAAGAAGGAGGAAATGTAGCCCTCGGGACAGAGTTCTCCAAGGAACCCAGCCTCGGAACCCATAGTTACAAACGACTCTTACTTCCTAGCGCTGTCTGGACCAAATGCTGTCCTAAGTGCTTTATATATATATATATATATATATATATATATATATATATATATATATTAATATATTATACTAATATTAATATATTAATACATAATCATATATTTATTTATATATATTATTTTATATAAATAATATATGAATAATTATATGAATTTTATATATATATATATATATATTTCCTCACAATACTTCTAGGAGATAGGCACTATCTTTCCCCCACTTACAGATGAGGAAATTGAGGTCCAAGAGCTGATCACTTGCCCAAGGTGTCACCGTCATCTAGTATCTTCACGTCTAACCCACAGAGACCCAGGCACCCACTTGCTCTGACCCTTGACTCCCAGGACCTCTCTCTGCAGCTCTTCTGACTTCTGACCTTTGACATGCAGGAACTTATGTATGCTTTCAGGCCCTGGGCCTTGACTTGCTGGGGGGACAGGAGGGATTTATGTATGTATGTGTATCATCCTCTAGGTTGTCATGCACAGTCTCGGCCAGAGGTGTTTAAGCTTCTCTCGAGCAGAAACAGTGGCACAACTGAAGGTCACAGATTCCCAAATGTCGGGTGTGGGTGACCGGCAGTGGTTGTACCAGACATGTACAGAGTTTGGCTTCTGTGAGTGGCCCAACCCTCAACCCCCAAGACATCTATCTCTGTGGGGTGTCCAGACAAGCTGTCTCACAGGTGGTCTGGATTTGTTTTCTTTTTGGTGGGAGGGGACTGCTGGGTCTTGTTTAGCCTGCAGGGGTGGGGCTGGAGGGTAGACAACTATATGTGTGTGTGCACTTGGCCCTCACACTCTTCCTCACACACACAGTCCTCTGCATGAATGATTATCTCTCCAATCTGCTCTTCATCCATGTCCCTGTCCCAGAAATGGCCCTCCTGTCGCCCTGGTTACCCGTCTAGAAGCCCCAGCAGCGTTTCTCATGCCTCCTCCCCTTCGTCCTCCTAGCCTGTAGTCACTGAGCCCTGCCCACTCTTCATACCGGACAGCTCTCCAGTTCACCTCAATATACCAGTTTCCCTGACATCCCAGGAACTTTGCACATACTGTTTACTTGTCCTGGATGACTTATCTTCCTCTTGTCACATGGTTCACTTATCTTCAAGTCTCAATACAACGTGCCTCCTCCTTAGGATGTCTTTCCCGATTGCTGTAGCCTCCCCTCCCACTTCCTCCACAGCTCTGTGTGCTTCTCCTGAGCACTTCCCCAGCCTCATCATACAGACCTCATTGCCTATCTTCCCCTCTACATTGGGAGTCCTGTCACCGCAGAGCCTGGGACTGTCTTGGATGCTACCGTGTTCCCATTACTGTTCACAATGCATCTGAGCACACAAGAAGCGCTCAATAAATGGCAAAGAAAGGAATGAGTGCACAGAAGCCTAAGAGTGCTGTGGATTCTAAGCAAGGGAGACACGGTCCAATTTGTGCGTTCCGCTGCAGTGTTTCTTTATCTCTCTAGCCCTGTGCACATGCTGTCTTCCCTATTTGTGGGGCTCTATTCTCTTTGCTTGGCTCACTCCTGACTCCTGAGGGTTTTATCCCTGGCAGATTGCTTTTCTGGAGCCTCTTGTGCTCCCTCTGGGATTCGTCCCACCCCAGGCCTTTTTCCATCGCAGCCACGATGTTCTGGGCTGTCACTGTCTGAGGATGCCTGGTGTCTCTCTAATGAGACTGGGAACTTATGGAGCTGTTTTGGGCATTGCTATGGATGATTATGGAAGGGGAGGGCTGTATGTCCCACATTCATATGTATCTCCCTCCACAGATATCACCTGTGAGGGCCCCAGGTGCCCTTTTTCCCAGGTCCCAGCACTGCCATCCCAGCTAGAGCTATGTGAGCAGGTGTTTGGGCTCTCAGCCTCATCTGTAGTGCAGGCTGTGGCCCAGACAAACTCCTATTATGGTGGCCAGACCCCAGGGGCCACCCAAGTGCTCTTCATTAATGGTAAGCCTGCCATCACAACCTGACTCCTAGGTCTCCACCTATTCCAGGTGCAACACACCACATTCTTCCCTTTCTTATCAGGGGACACAGATCCCTGGCATGTGCTAAGCATAACACAAGCCTCAGGTCCCTTGGAGTCAGCCCTTCTCATCCCAAGTGCTTCCCACTGCATGGACATGGCACCGGAGAGGCCCTCAGACTCCCCCAGCCTCCGCCTAGGGCGCCAGGTAAGAGGCGGCAGCTCTGCATTTGCATATTAATGTACATGTCCCCGTCCCCTGCTAGGCTGGTATCTGACTCGCCATCCCCACCTCTGCACAGAGCATCTTCCAGCAGCTGCAGACCTGGCTCAGGCTGGCAGAGGAGAGCCAGGTTCGGAGTGGGGCCTGAGGGGCCCCTACTCTCGCCACTCCCTGCGTGGCCACCTCACCCTGGACATGTTCACTGGACAGGAGAGAGCAGCTTGTTCTGAAAGAGGAAATTCCCAAAAATTGGGCTTTAGCACCCGTTCTGCATGTAACTGACTTGGGTCCGCAAACATCCTTGTCACTCCTGCCTGAAAATGCTTTGTGACAGAGAGTTATGTAACTATACGAGGAGAATTATTCTCATTGTGAATAGTGGTATTTTATTTGATATTTTAGAGAGCATTTTACTAATTGTTTCCTGGCTGTCCTTTATTGTTTAAAGTATCTTACTGTAAAGTCGCTTTGTGTCATATAATTCTGGAACCATTTCACATTGATTTCTTTTTTTCCCCTAATTTCAAAAACAGCAATCTCTGCCGCTTCTTAGTATCCCAAAGGGACAGGGGGTCAGCCTCCGTCTTACTTCGGGCTGCTGTCACAGAACACAATGGGCAGGGCGGCTGAGAAACAACAGCTAGTTATTTCTCACGGTTCTAGAAACTGGGGAGTGTGAAATCAAGGCACGGGAAAATCAGGTGTGTTGTGAGAACTCACTGCCTGGTTCATAGTCAGCTGTCTTCTTTCTGTGTCACAGTGTCTCCAATGGCTCTCTCTCTGCCTCTTCTCTAGCATGTCCTGCCGCTGGCAGTCACCGCTGCCTGTGTCCCCCGACCTTGCTCTCTGTGTCACCTTTGTCACTTTCTCTCTCACCCTCTATCTCTGCCTCTGTTTCCCTCTCTTCAGATTTGCCCTGTCTCTCCTGTGCTGCTTCTCAGGCTCTGTCTCCCTGAGGCCTTCTCTGTGTGTGTCTGATAATCTTTACTCTTTCCATTTCTCATTCTGCCATTTAATCTTTGTTCTCTCTCTCTCTCTCTCTCTCTCTTTCTCTCTCTTTCAATTTTCCTTCCTAACCCTTCCCTCACCATCGCTTCCCACTACCAGACACCTCCTGGCATTTTCAGCTTCCAACCCTGGGGGTGTAGGGCTCTGGTTAAGTCTCCTGATAGGGACACCCCCGCCATCCCATCTCAGTTCTGGGAGGGTGGGCCTAATCCCCGGGTGCCTGCTCAGCTTGCTTCAGTGGTGCCTCAGTGGAGCTGTGGCCCGCAGAACAGGAGGTAGCCAGTCAGGGAGGCGGCACCTTTGGGGAGCTGGGCCTCTGGGAAGCCAGGAAGTACAGAAGTAAAAACAAGTCAGGATGTGGTGGTGGGGGGGGGGGGGCATGGTAAGAGAAGCCACAAGTCCACTGTCCTGTGAGGAAGTCCCTCACCTATCTTGACTCCAAATTCTGAGGACTAAGTCTTTGCTCTAGCCTAGAGCTAACCCAGCCCTGCTCAGCAGGTGCGGCCTATTCTGTTTCCTGATCTTGAAACATAGCCCCTCAAGCTGGGCTCTGTTTAGCCTCCATGCCTCCCTCTTGTATGTTCCACATGTGCACCATGGTCCGACCCATTGTGAGTGCTCAGTGCCTGTTGGGAAATGAAAGAATGAAGTCTAACCTTGACTCTTCATACACTTTGGGTTTCCCTTCCACTTTGCCGGATACAACGTCCCTCCAGCTCCTTTGCAACTTCTTTGCAACTTGACACTGGGTTTGGTGCTAGGCTCTATTCTCCATCGTTCCCAGAGCTCAGAGCTGCCCTCGCCATGTGTCAGAGGTGGCAGGCTGAGCTATCAGGTGTACATCATGGAATATATCGTACCTCTGGGGTGGCCTGAGCCTCCAGGCCAGCTGCCTGTAAACAGGCAGCCCCATTTTTTCACCCAGGATTGCTCTATAAATAGCATTACTCTCTGTTTGCATCAGTCTATGTTACAAAAGGATGGAAAATTCTGAGGTGCTCCCTCTTCCTGTCCTCCTTGTCCATTCTTGGCTCCTAATCTCCACTCCCTACCTGGCAACCACAGGGATTCTTTCAAAAGGTAAGTCAGGTGATGACACTCCTCTGCTTCAAACCCTCAGATAGCTTCCTACTACAACCAGAGTAAAGTCTGAATTCTTTCCCAGGACTACCAGGCCCTGCATACTTTGGCTTTTGAACTCTTCTCTGAACTCATTTCCTACTACTCTCTCTATTACATGCCAATTGCATGGCCCCTTTGGTTACTTAAAATCCAAAGCCAATTCCTTTTTTTTTTTTAAAGATTGTATTTATTTATTTGAGAGAGAGAGAGAGAAAGAGAGAGAGAGAGAGAGAAGGAGCAAGGGAGGGGCAGAGGGAGAAGCAGACTCCCTACTGAGCAGGGAGTCAGACAGGACTGGATCCAGGGACTCCTCTGGGACCATGACTTGAGCCAAAGGCAGATGCCCAGGCATCCCCCAAAGCCAATTCCTACTTCCAGTAGCTGTTCCCTCTGCCCAAAGGTCATTCCTTTAATGACTTTTAAATGACTACTTCCTTCTTAACATTCAGACTCAACTCCAATGTCACCTCCTCTGAGAGGCCTTTCTTGATTGCTTCCATGTCCCAGTCACTACCTATCACATCATCTGTTTTATGTGCTTCCCAGCCATGAGCTCTATGTGAAATGACCTTATTTTAATTTTTGTCCAAGCCCTCTGTACCAGAGTGCTGAGTCCCTGAGAGAGGGAACCATGCCATCCCAGCAAACACATCCATCTGAGTTCCATGTTTCACAACTTCCTCAATTTCACGTGAACTCTTTTCAAGAAGCTCAAAGATTGCAAAATTGGATCAAAGCTCGAAAAAATACTTCTCAGGACTATGAGGATTGGCAAACGTGTGGTTCACCTACCTTACTTTCAGTTTACCAGCGGTGCTCTATATCTTAGGAAGCATTTGAATTATAATGAGGATAAACAGTGTTAAGAAATGGTGAAGCAGTGTGTTCTGGAGACCCCTGGTTTGTCTCACACAAATTCCACCCTTAAACGTGACCAAGTAGGGCTTCTTTCCTGGGTGCTCTGCTTTGGAGGTTTCTGCACTGGTGCGGATGCAGGCACAACTTCATCCCAAAGTGAGAACTCCAGGGCATTGTGAAAATGCCTTTTCTATGCACCCTCACTGACCATACTCTCAACATTACATAAATCTCTAACATTGATTCTAAAGAAGAGCAAAAGTGGAGGACCAGTAGTACCTGATCAAAAGATTTCCAGGGCATCTAGGTGGCTCAAGTGGTAAGTGTCTACTGTTAGCTCAGGTTATGATCCTGGGGTCTTGGGATCTGAGTTCCGCGTTGGGCTCCCTGCTCAGTGAGGACCCTGCTTCTCCTTCTGCCTCTGTTCCTCCTTCCTCTCATGCTCTCTTTCTCTCAAATAAAAATAAAATCATAAAAAAGAAAGATTTCCTATGAAGCTCCAATAATTAAGACAATGTGGTTTTGGCATTACATGTAGACAAATAGATCAATGAGACCTGACAGAGTCCAGAAGTAGACACACACACGATTAATCAATTTTCTACAAAGATGACAATGCTAATCAGGGAGGAAGAAAAGTCTTTTAAACAAATGATCTGGAGCAACCAGATAAATTATAGACCTTCTCTCAATTTCTTTTGCAAACTTCTTTACAACTTGACATCTGAATGAGTCTGGCTTGAGTGCTAGACTGCTTTCTCTTCCCAAGCATTCTCTGAGCTTCAGAGCTTGAAGGGAAATTTTAACCTCACTGCTATCTCATACCGTACTCAAAAATTAATACAAGTGGATAGTAGTTCTAAATGTAAAGCTAAAACGATAGCATATCTAGAAAAAAATAGAAAAATTATTTATGACCCAGTAGCAGGCAAGTATTTCTCAGGGAGAAAAGAATAGTGTAAGATACATAAAAAAGGATAAGCTAACATTATCAAAATGAAAACTTCACATTAAAAAAAATATCATTAAGAAACATTAAGAAATGGAAAGACAAGGAAAAGCCTGAAGGAAAACATGCACATGACATACACTTGACAAAAAATTCCTAGAAATCAATTTTAAAAAGACAAGCCAATAACAAATGGGTAAGAGAATAAGGAAACCCCTCTTGGCGATTTTGATCAGAATTTTTTTTAATTTTTATTTATTTATGATAGTCACAGAGAGAGAGAAAGAGGCAGAGACACAGGCAGAGGGAGAAGCAGGCTCCATGCCCCGGGAGCCCGATGTGGGATTCGATCCCAGGTCTCCAGGATCGCGCCCTGGGCCAAAGGCAGGCGCCAAACTGCTGCGCCACCCAGGGTTCCCTGATCAGAATTTTTTTTTGGGTCAGAATTGCAATTTGAGAAAGATCCACAAGAGAGGAGGGTTCTTCGTTCATACCAAGTGTTACACTTCTCTCCTTTTTTCCGTCATCCACGGTGTGGGAGAGCAAAATAGAAAGAATGTGATATTTTTTTTTAATTCTTTAATTGTTTATCTTTTGTGTTTTTTGTTTTGATCACACCCCCCCCCCCCCACCCTACTTTGAAGAAACTGTGGTGCCTTCAGTCTTTGTTTACATCTTCTAAACAGAGGGGAGAACTGCCAGTAGGTGGCGGTTGGCTCAGTTGGTTAGAGCGTGGTGCTAACAACACCAAGGTCACGGGTTTGAGGCCGCAAGGGCCACGTGGTAGTGTGTTTTACTATTTCTGCGCAGTTCCCCTGTACCAACCCCAGAGGATGCAGCTGCAGAACAAGAAATACCTGGGAGTGCCAGTAGACCTAATGTCACATTATTTTGTTTTGTTTTTAAGAAGTCACAAATGAAAGTTAAAATGGAGAATATTTTTAAAGGAAATTGAGCAAAATAGGGCAGGTACATTTAGGCAAGAAGGGGATAAAAGAGTTGGAGAATTTCCTGTTCTATGTTGGAAAAAAACCTGAAATGTTTTGGCTTCTATTACACTCTCTACAGGGAGTAAAAAGGTGTCCCCTGGTGGCCAGTTAGCTCAACTGGTTAGAATATGGTGTTAATAATGCCAAGGTCGTGGCTTCGATGCCCGTGTGGGCCATGACTAGGGTTTTCGTTACCTTTACATGCAAGCACACCTCAGGGTGTCAGACTCACCTGAGGCCTCCCTCCATCAATACAGGAAACATGTCTCCTTGAGAATTTAGACAGCTTGAACAGTCTTCT